TTTATCTTATCTCTTCACGAGACTTACCTTAATTCACTTTGTGGTTCCGCTTTAACAATAGCTTCATAATATTTAATAGCTTTCGTATACGCATGAGTTTTTATATAAGCTTCACCAATTTTTTTCATTAGTCCAATATCACGATTATTTTGACGAAGTGCAGCATCATAAATTTCAATCGCTTTTTCAGGCTAATGAGAAATGATGATGTCGATTTTAATTTAATTTAATTTTTACTGTGTATGGAAAAAAAATGTATACTACAAGATATTTGACTTGAATGTTTTAGGCAAAGACAGAGAGGGAGAGAGAGTATGTGGTACTAAGAAAATTGAAAACCGATAATATCTATGGAATAAAAGTTACACTCTATAGAACTTATTTCGTTTGTAAATCTCAAGGAAATCATAGTCGAACCTCATATCAATGTCTCTCTTGACTATAAAATATGCCTATTGGCAGGAAAAATTTGGCATCTGCTCAAACATTTGAAATACGTGGAATAAAATTTCATATATTAATTGTAAAGCAGTTGCTCTAATAGCTACTTCAATTTGTAGATAAATATTTATCTATTTATTAGTAATACAAACCTCCATAATACTCATATATGCATCTCCGAGTATAACCAGAGCTTGCGGTGTTGGATTTCGATCAACAAGTTCTTTGTATGTTTTAATAAATAATTTTTTATCTCGTCTATGTTTTAAATAGATCTCTGCTAGTTTTTCTCTCGATTGTAAATAATATGTTTGATCCGGTTTAATTTGTATTAATATTTCAATGGCTTGATTAATGTCACCACGTTTCAATGCAAGATCAACGTTGGTCAATAATATTCTTGATTCTTCACTTGTACCTTGAAATTCAGTTGATGCTTCTTGTAATAATATACTGGCTTCATGTACGCGGTTGAGTAATATTTGTATTTCAGCTAATTCTAAAAAGACACTAACACGATCTTGCATTGTTATGGGCACACTTGAAATCATTTGTTCGCTTTTAGATCGTGGTGTTTTTAATGTTTCTGGTTGGTGACGTTTTTTAACACCAGGCAGATTGAGTGCACTTTGTAACAGTTTACAAGCTTCTTCATATTTTTGCTCTTTTTTAAATATTCTCGCACGTATTAAATGATAAATCGGATGAGTTTTCAAATCGAAATTATATGATAAACCATTTTCTAATGATTCATATGCTAACTGTGTATTTCCTTCGCGAGTATAAACTTGTGCTAGAAGAATGTATGCTTCTGAATATGTTGCTTCTTGGTCGATGATACGACGAAGAACACTTTTAGCTTCGGCTGTATCGCCAGATAAATATTTGACTTTTGCCAATAGGAAAAGACCTTCAAGTAAACCTGGCACAGCTTTGGTTAATTGTTCTAAAATACCAGCCGATTTACGAAGTGATGGATTAAGTGATTGACCAGATTCAACAGGCTTTATGAATAAAAATAAATAAATATCTGTCTTTGAACTAGTTTTACAGTATTACCTTTAATGAAATATTATTCATATATTCACGAACGATTTCAAGAATAAAATCTGGATTTAAACAAAGTAAATATTTTTTACCCAATGGTAAACCCTATAAGAAAAACGGAATATCGAATAAAAAATGTATGGTTTTTCAATTCATGAATTAAAAACAAACTCGAAGATTTTTAAAGTGTTGTTCAGCAGCTGTATCGAATAATAGTACAATTTGATCGGGTGCCATAGCATTTTCGTGTTTAGCTAGAATAGCTCTTAAATGAGCAATTTCCTAAAAATAAAATTTAATATTTCATGTTTACTGAAGTATCGTATAGGAAAAACAAAGTTCTTAGTTCTGATGAATTGAAATGATTTTCATGTGATTTTATTTAGTAAGGAAACAAACAAAATAATTTATCAACATTTAAAGAGATCATTTGCTCATTGTCTCAGCCACAGCTACAGGCCATTTAGAATGTCAGCCAGCTAGAAGAGAGTTAGACACTACCAGTGAGAAATGATGCAACGGCTGTGGCCTTCCTTCAATGAATTCTTATAGTAAATTTAAGATTATCGTTCACTAGGTATGTCTTCCTTGAGGTTAGTCTCGATCAAATAGGAAAGCTAAGCTTTGGAATACTTTCCCAACATCGCTACTACTACTACTTGACTCATTTTTAAAGATAGCTGTTTCAAAACGTGGCACGTTTAATTGAGAAAGAACTGTACAAATCCGACTCAATTTTTTTTCGAACAAGACGAAAAGTTTATTTCTCATAACGATTGAGCTATTATAGAAAAAACAGTAGTATCTCTCCGTTTAAACAATAATGTCAAAATAGATAGGAAACACTTTCAAACCAAATTACTAAGATATTAAATGTATCGCAAAGAAACTAATTATATCTTGTTCGGCTTACTGCAGGATTTCCACTTTGAACTTCGTGTTGAAATTCAATCTGCTGTTTTGCTTCAGCAAATTTTCCTTCCAATATTTGACAATGAATAATACCTTTAAATATCAATTAATGAAGCATATTATTTTTTCAATTGAAATTCAACAAACCATAAACAGCACCCATATTGTCTGCATGAGTTCTTGCGGCAGATTTATAGAATTTAATAGCTTCATTCATTTTAGTTGCCATCAACGCTTGATAGCCACCTTCAATCAGATAATCTGCATTTGTTGAATTGAGTTCCAATGCACGTTGAAGAAGTATATCACTTTGATGAAGAATTTGAGAATTTCGTCCACACTAAAAAAAGTCAATTTTTCGTTCAATTAAATCGATAAAAACATCGATACATACCACTCTAGCAACAACTTGAGAAATTTCAAAATATTGCCAAGCACCTTTCGGTTCCGATATATCAATAGCTTGCAAAAGTCGATTAAAAGCTTGTTGAGCCTTTGGGTAAATAAATAACAGAATTTTAAATCTGGCATAATTTTTTTCTTTCTTTTTAACACTTACATCCGTATAATTTCCTTCTCTACATAATAGATAAAGATAATGATACTTATGTGCTTCAACACAATTTGAATCGATGCGAAATGCTCTATTTACGAGAAGAACAAACAATGAAATTTTTGGTTTTTCTTCTGAATTACCTTTGAGCAACATCCTCACATTGTTCCCAATCTTGCATACATAATTGTAATTTCATATTTTCTAATACTGCAGGTAGATAATCACTTTTTGTTGCTAATACACGATTGACATATTCAAGTGCTTGTGAGAAATTAGAACGTATTTCACGATATTTAGCATAGCCAAATGCAGCATCAGGAAAATTACTTTCAAGTCTTGAGGAATGAAAAAGAAAAACAATTATGAATCGATAAAATTCGTATTAATTTACTTTAAAGCAGCATCAAAATATTGTTTTGATTCTTTAGCAATATCATTAGCAATCAATATCCAACCCTTTAAAGCTAAAGCCTATTTCATAAAAATCAAAAATATTAAATGAAAATAGAGGTCAATTTTGTTACAAAAATATTTGTTGGATTTTTTTTAGTTGCTCGTTCAATATATTCCATAGCTTTATCTGCTTTACCAATGATATATAATGTATGAGCACCATAAAAGAGTGCCTAAATATAGAAAGTAAAGTCATTTTTATATGTAAACAAAAAATGGTATTGTTTGCTTTTACCGTATCATCTACTTGTTTACGTAATTCTTTGATTTTAACTTCAAATTCTGCAATTGCTTCACGATCTGTATAGACGAGAGATTGAAGAAAAGAAACAACCGAATATATGATGGATACGCAGCATACCTGGTGTTTTATGTTGTTTATGGCCATGTACTAATGCTAGAAGTGTTGCTACTGTTAATTCAGGTTTATTACGTAATTGTTCTAATTCACGCATAGCCTCGTGTAATTGTACTAAAATTTAATATTCTTATTCAAATGAATATTAGAGAGTCGCTTTAACTAGTTATTTCAAGTTCGTATTCACTCTTAATTCCCAATATTGATAAAATATAAGTTATTCGATAGGAACTATTCTTATATTAATTCGTATCATAGAAACTACAATTTAGACATTGCCATCTGATTTTATTTTAATGAACAGTGATGACAACGATTGTTCTCATTCCAAAAGATTTTACCGAGCAGAACAATAAATTAACACTATCTATAATCAATTTCAAAACATCATTACGAGTTATAAGCGCGTCTCTTTGTGCACGTCTTTTATATGTCAATCGTTTTGTTCATTGACAAGGTGCAGTAAATAATCATGCTCTTTTAACAGCTATTATTCATTTCATTAAGAGCATTCACCAATATCAACCTTTCAGAATACTCGATTCAGTCGATAGATAAATTAGTTTTGTAAAATTACATAGTGTATCGGTTTTCTAAATCAGAAGTGATTCTATGAGTCCGAAACTCAAAATATTCTAATGTTGATCATTTTTAGAAAGTACAATTCGAATTACTAGTATAAAATTTAAATGGAAATTCTTTATTCTGTTTTTAAATCTCACCATCCATAAGTAGAGCCAAGGCAGAATAAAATTGAAGTATTCCATCATTAACAAAACGTTTTAAACCTTCATTTGCTGTTGTATATGCTTGATTGTAATATCGTTCGCGAAAATAATAAAAGATTTTACTCTATAAATAGAATAGTTTACAAGAACTTCTTGAATAATGACACTTTTTCTGCTTACTAAATTATATAAATCTTTTTCAGCCATGTTCAATCCTTTCAAATATCAACTAAACTAACTTTTCATATTTCTACCATCGCCAATGCTCAACTCTGACACTACGCATCGGCAACACCCTCTCCAACATTGTTAATAGATGTCGTTAGTACAATGTGATTCAACGAAAGTTTTTTTTGGTAAACTCCCAAGAGAGATTTCACCATAAAAACTTCAAAAAAAATTCTAAATTTTAAAATTTTAAAATTTCATACCAAAAATCTCAATTGATGATCTTGTATAGGTCATTCAGTCAATCATTTCGAGATATAAAGTATAACAATTAAAAATGTCATCGAATCCAATAATTAATCAAACAACATCTGAACCTAACACAGTAGTTGTCTCTGATGAAACAGTAAAACAAAATATTGAAATTGTTCAACCACCAGAAATACTATCAAGTAAACAATCTTCAAATTCCGATTCCTATGAAACTTTATCCGATAGTGATGAGAATGACGATGATGATGATAATGATGATGATGATGATGATGATGATGGAGAATATCCAGTTGATTTAACATTCGATTGGCTTGATGAACAAATGCGTGCTGGTGTTGATTTACGTCCATTACTATCTCGAATCTTGCCCGGTTTACCAGACGATGTTTCAGAATCGACTCTTTACGAAATTTTCATGGATCTATTTTTACCATTTCGTCAACGAAAAGCACTCGAACAATATAAAACTCTTGATGATGCTGTAGAACTAATAAGTACACGAAAAAATATTCTTATCTTAACCGGAGCTGGAATATCCGTTAGTTGTGGAAGTAAGTTATTCATGTAAATAACTAGAGACTTCTTATGATTATTTCCTTCGTTTTAGTTCCTGATTTTCGTTCTCGTGATGGTGTTTATGCTCGATTACGTGAAGAATTTCCTGAACTGCCTGATCCACAATCAATGTTTGATATAAATTATTTTACTCATGATCCTCGGCCATTTTTTCGTTTTGCAAAAGACATTTGGCCCGGACAATATCAACCATCGTTAGCACATCATTTCATAGCTGAATTAGAACGACAAGATAAATTACTGCGAAATTATACACAAAATATTGATTCATTAGAGCACTTAAGTTCAATAACACGTCTTATACAATGTCATGGTTCATTTTCAACTGCAACATGTCGTAGTTGTCATTATAAAGTTCAAAGTGATGAAATAAAGGATGAAATTTTGCAACAAAAAATCCCTTATTGTCCAAAATGTTCGAAAGATGTTAATAATGCCATACTTAAACCAGATATTGTGTTTTTCGGTGAACAATTACCAGATGATTTTCATAGAGCAATCTCAATTGATAAAAATAAATGTGATTTACTTATTGTTATGGGTTCTAGTTTAAAAGTTAAACCAGTTTCACTTGTATCGGAATTATTACCAAGTGACACACCACAAATATTAATTAATCGTGAAAGTTTACCACATAAAACATTTGATATCGAATTATTGGGCAATTGTGATGTTATTATAAATGAATTATGTCTTCGTTTAGCTAAACTAAATCCATCATTTCGACCATTGAAAAATCAAACTGAACATTCTCTAAATGAAATTTTATATGAAACTCTACATCAATCAATAGAAACACATAAAATTAAAAAACAAAAACTTGATAATGATATCGAATCATGCTCACACTCAGATGAGGATGTATCAACACTTCATCCGAAAACAATCGAACCTAAAATACCAGACGACAGCTCAACAACACAAATAAGAACATTATCATCATTTAAGAATTCGTCATTATTCAATGGAGATACATCATTTATAAACTATTCACCACGACGATATATATTTGCTGGTGCTGAAATAAATTTGTCATCCGATGACGAAGATACAGATCAACATTTAGATGAAGAAGAATTACCAAGAAAACATGCAGAATGATTCTATGACATTGTTTACTTGTTTTTGTTCTTGTTACTCATTTTCACTTATTTATTTATACAATGTTCAAAAGGAAAACAAATTAAATAGATTACAACTATGGAATATAAGATGCTTAAATAATTATGTAACGAACAATACAATAGATATACCTTTCCCCCCATAATAGAAGCTCCCGGGGCTTCTAAACTGACCATCGTTCAAAATTTTTTAAGGGGGCTTCTATTATGGGTAGGGGGGGGGGAGTTAATAGATAGATAGATAGATATCTAATAAAACATAAACAATACAATATTGCAACCAGGATCATTCAAAACAAGATGTCAGTTTAATTTTCTCTGCCAAATACACGTATGTTCACTAGAAATCTCTATTACGAAATACACATGGTGCAATAACAGACCAAAAATAAAGTACCAAACATGTCCATGATGAAGCTATTTTAACCCAAACAGCTGAATCACTTTGACGAAAATTATGAGCATCATTTGACGGTTTAAGCCAACTAAAAATAAAATCAATTTTAGAATAAACGAAAACAACGGCAACAACAGCCTATCGTCTTACTTTGTTAATGTCATCATAACATAAAATGAAGCCAGGAAGAACATGAAATGAAATAATGAATAATTATATGCGACTGCTTCCTCTTCGTCATCATAACTTTTTCCACTCTCTATTCAATTTGGAAAATACTGTATTAAAAAGCAAAGCACTATTCAATTTTTCCTTTACCAGATTGTGGAACTGGACTTCCTGTTTCCTCATTACCGGAAATACCCAATAATTTCCCACCTGAAGATTTTGTTGAGCTTGTCATTCTATCAAGAGAGAGAAAAAAATGTCCATCTTTAATTATTCACCTTCCTTAGAAAGCTATCAGACAAACTTACGCTGAATAAACTATTAAACCAAAGAAAATAACCAATGCTATTATTGATGTAACACCAACTGAGCCATTTCCAGTTGCTTCATATTGTGTTGAATTTCCTCCTTTCATAATTCCATACCAGGATGGATTACAAACAGGATCTAAATAAATCAATAGAATTTGTTTCTTTCCTTTAGCAAAATTATGTTTACCTGGTTGTTCACTGGTCATAGCTGACCATGTTAGAAAGATAACATACAATGTAACAAATGATGATTGTAATAAGCCCGATGTTGAATGATAGTTTTGAATCGTTGGTAAAACCGATACAACAGAAACCATGATACATAATACAAAATTAATTGTCACAAAAAATATATTAAGTCCACAAGCTGGTTTTGAGGCATAATAAACATATAAAAGTATAATCGCAACAATCGATATGATATAAAATGTTGTTGTAAAAAATATCAGACCACAATAATGTATTTTACTTCCTTCTTCACCTTTTTCAACCCAACTTTCATTCCAACTATAGAAACAAAAGAATTATAATTTAAAAACAAAAGAAGTTCTCTTTTTTTCAATCAAACCTATGAGCAAAATCAATGAGAAGAATTAGTTGAACTAATATAAATACAAATCCACAAATAGTTCCAATAACCATAAGAGCTAAAAATTAAAATTAAAAGTTAGTTAATTTTCAATTTTTTTTTCAAAATTCTCTACCTGGTGCAAAACCTTGATTTGGTATGAAAAAAGCTCCAACACAAATACCAATAATGACTAAAATTTTCCAAAGCCAAAATCTAATAGAAAATATTTTACATAAATACATATATATATATATATATAAATTATTTCTATTTTTATTTTACCCATTTTGTATTCCACTTCGAGGGTCTTTTGATCGTTTAACGCATAACATTAAAATCATCATTGTAAAAAAAAAACAAGCGAACGAAAACTGAATGCGATATACACTTAAATAACCAACGATATTTTCACATGATATTTGTCCTTGAAATACTTCCATGCCAGCTACGGTACTACCTTTGCATAGTGCTGGGATCTAATTCATATAAGATTATTGGTTATTCTTTTTTTTTTTAATTTTAATTTTTACCTTTGCCAATGTATTAGCAAAGCTCGGTATTAAAAATATCCAGGAAATAAACATGCCAAAAAGTAAAAGTATTCCATAAGCTAAACGTGTTACAATTGAATTACGTGTTGACGGACAACAAGCACAGCAAAGACTACAAGCTGCTGAACCACAACAACAACCAACCTGAAGACAAAAGAAGAAGAAGAGAAAAAATTATTAAATTAATAAGAAATAAAATCGATGAACTTACTGCTCCAAGAACACAACCCATTTTTGTTAAGTTTAGTTTGAATCTGAAAATAATAGAACGATGAAACACTAACGATGACAAATAGATGAATAGAGTTTTCTATTTTTATTTATAAAAATAATGATTCAATGATAATTATTTATTTATTTAAAATAAAATGAATAAGATTCTAGAGATACTTAAAATTTTATTATTATCATTTCTTAAGTATAATTTGATACGTTCTTCTTTTCTTTTCTTTTTCACGAAACAAATGAATCAGTTTTGACGTCATTAGTTCATGTCATGAGAGGGCGCTGATCAACAGTAAAAAACCATTTCATAGCTATTACGTCGAAGACGACGAAGAAGAAGGAGAAGGAGAAGAAAAACTGTTTTTCATGCGAAACTTACATTCTTTTTCATATCCGTCTTATTGTTATTTATAGTCACACTTATATGAAAAAAATTAGATAATTCATACTAGGGAATTATATGCATAAGATCATTTGCCTTGAGGAATTCTTTTTCGCACAACAGCTTGATAGTTGAGAAACTCGAGTATTCCAATAATCTTTTTATTTTCATATGTAAAAGTGGATTCGTTTTCCACACTAAAAGCATCGACTCCTGTTTGTCTTGTGATGTATGCGTGTTTCAGAGTAATTATCTCATTTGTCAATAAGATTGATAAGCAATAAAAAATTGATCCATTAAACAAAATTACTATTAAACTATAACTGCGCGAAGAATATACATACTTATTTTTGCTACACAGTTTCAACTTCTAAAAACATTAATAAGCCATGTGAATTTTTTGCAAAATGTACGTCACTTCGACCGAGAAAGCTTTAGTAGACGCGTCCGTTTGTTTCGTAAGCTTAGTTAATGATTATGCAAAGCTAGTCTCAGTAAACCTGATCCATCAACAATAGATGAAGAGAGATAGAGAGGAAAAAAATATTTGACATTTGAATAAGAAAAAAAAATATTTGAAAAATCACTAGCTAAATAAATATTACATTCAGATGAGAACCTATTGTTGTATACCAAATAGATGGATGCATATTTTTACATACAAAGAATTCGAATAAAAAAGAATGTACGGATGTAGAGACAAAATCCTACACGTTTTATCACGATTTTACTCAAAATTCGTCCTTTCAATAAATTAATCCTAAGTTGTTTATTCATGAGGAGAGATAAAAAACATCCAATTCATTCCTATTTTAATATGTATATCTTAAACTTCTGAACTAAACAACAGTGATCTACTATCAATCGGCATTTTACCTTTTTTGAAATAGTCGATATAAGATGAGATTCTCGACGTTTTCCTATGCCAATATTTTTTTTGTAATTCAGTAGTTAGAGAAAAACAATATGCCATTTATGTTGTTTATTATTTATTTACCAAAGAAAATATTGAGAGATTGGTAAATGAATAAAGTAAAAATGTAAGATTTACCTGATTTGCTACGTATTGTAAAGTATTTATAGCTTCTGCCGAGAAAAAGATTACGGTATTATATTGATGCTCTTATTAAGATTATATCGATAAGACCTAATTAATTCTCTCTAAAGTAAAGAAACAAGTACCATTAGAATTAATGAAAATATTTGAACGCGTAAAATCTCTATTTGTTCTGTCAAGTTATAAAAAAATCAATGAAAACAATCATTATTATTTCAGAACATCTGTTTTATTAAAATAGTGTTAGAGTTCTCGAGAAAAGTATGACTAAGTACATTCAGTGATATAAATTTCTACTAACTTTTCGATGTTGAAATGTTATATTAAGTGACTATTAGAAAAGCTAATATTTAATTATTCCTCTATTGGCATAAGAAGACGATGAAAGAAAGTAGAAAAATGACACCGCTGCCATCATTTTCTTAGCGTATTATGAGTCAAGCAAATTAAAAGGGGCAACATCATGTTCTGTTTTGTTTCTTCAACCGCTTAAGCCTACTTTCATAAAGTCTAAATGTCCTCATTCGAGACAAGAGATTTTTTTTCTCTCGAAATACTATTCGATAATGTAACTGCAACAGTTGAGAAACGAGAAAACTACAGGAATTTTTTTTAAAACTACTATCTGATAAAAGTTCAAACAGGTAACAAAGTTCTATACAAGCAAGTCACTCGAACTGATTGGCGTTCATCTATATTACAATTTCGGGTAAACCTTTTTGAAAATAACATCCCGCAGAATTGATCACATAGCTGCTACTTGAACCTTATCTAGATCCATTGCGGTAATCACTTTTTTATCTGCATTTTTGAGTACTCGTTAAGAGGGTTTTGAATAATTTGATAGAAGGTTTTGAACACTGCACAATGGTTGAAAGATGTCTACAAAAATGTATCACACAATACAGTTTTAAATAAATCACATTACTTTTTTTATGTAAGCTGCCTAGTGAAATGAAGAGTGTGTGTGTGTGTGTGTGTTCATTAATCTGATAAGCCGCTAGACTATCTTTAACATGATTCAATAAGCTAATTCTATCATAGTCAAGAAAAAACATTGGATTCGAAAAGCAGTGCTTAGGGTACTATTTTCAAAACTTCGAAGGTACTTTTTTCTGACCGAGATTTAGTAGACTTTGTTTCGAAGGAATGCAATCTGTATGGAAGCACAATCTGTTATTTTAAATCCGGATTCAAAACGAAGGCGAACAACATGAATTTCAAGTATTCTCGTGAATTATTTTTCTGTCAAAAAAAATCAATGTGAACTACTATCAGAGACAAATCAAAAACACATTTTTACCACTAGTAAGAGATTGGTTGTAACCAAGGGAGAAAAAGCGGATCCTAGGATCCAAAAAGTCTGATCGGAAAAAGGAGGAATTGATCGTAGAATTTTCGGGTAAGACGCATGAGTGAACTGATAAGATTGACATATTAGTCAATTCCGATGAATTTTTCGATACTTAAAAATTAAGTAGGATGCAACATAGGAATGTGCAGCTTACGCTAATGAGCGTGAGCAGTATATTCCTAATTATTATTGCTTTTATTATTTATTACGAGTAAGAAAGTTTAAAAAATTGAAACTAATAAAAGCAACAACTGATAAGTAATAACGTGTAATAGTTATTACCGTAATAAATACCGACCTAAAGATATTACTTAGAATTTTTTAGTATCTATCCAGGAGGATTTCGTATAGCTACTTGCGACCTGCCGGGAGATCGTATTAGAAACTTCCAGGATCAGACCAGAACTGAACCCTATAGCTATTAGGAGCCTACCTATAGGTGATACTCAGAACCTTTTAAGAATCACATAAGGGTAATATTTATAGGTGTTTTGAGCCTGGCCAAGGGTGGTACTTAGAAATTCTAAGGACTCAGTCTGAGGGAGTAGTCAAAAGTTTTAGGACTTACCCATGGTTGGTCCCTTTAGCTATTTGGGATCTACTTACAGATAATACCTAGAACTTTCAAGAAACTACCAAGGGGTGACCCTGTACCTTTCTGGACCTACCCCAGGATGGTAATTAGAACTATGTGAGAACTTCCTACCCAGTCAGTCAGACAAGTAACGAAAAAAATAGACGTTTTTATGCGTAAAAAGCTCACATTCTAACGCGTTTAGAAAAAGTTTATGTTGACCAAAAACAAGTTTAAAAGCATTAACACGTATGGATTCGTTTTTTTTCTCACAAAAAAAAGTCTTTTTTTAACACATAAAAACGTCGATTTTTTCGTTATTTGTCTGGCTGGGTAGGGCTGATCTGTGCAACATTTTAGTACATATATAGTGGCATCCCTTGTATTCTTTTGCGCAGTTTGGGAGGGGATTCTTATAACTTATTTAGTCGTAACTTGGGATGAACCGAGACCAACACTCATCAATACAGAAACCGAGGCTAACCGCGAACAAGAGAGAGAGAGAGAGAGAGAGAGAGAGAGACCAGAATCTCGACCTCGACGACTGAGACGGAGATGAAAAGTCTCGGTATGGGCATAGCGCTATTCGTAACTATTGACAGTTTCTATAACTTTTTCAATCCCATATAAGCACCGTCGCTTTAACGTGTCACTCTATCCAGCAGTGATATCTTCAAACTTGAAGTACTATCCTTAGCGGACCCGAAAAATTCATAAGAGCAACCCTTAAATAGATCCCAAATGGCTAAAAGAACCATTCCAGTGTAAATCCACAAAATTTACGGGGACCACCTCCAGATAGGATGCAAAAGTCACAGGGATCACATCTAGATAGGACCTAAGGGCTCGAAGGGGTTACCCTTAATTACGGCCAAAATAATACTAGTGATTGAATGCAAGTAATCTAGCGATTGTGGATAAATCAGTTAATAGAACTGTTTCAGCAGTTCTTTCTTTCATTTGATCTGAACTACGATCTGAGAGCTGTTGTAGTCCTAGTGGTGAGAAAGTAGAAATATATCGATAAATAGAAGTGATTCCACGATCAAATTCTCTATTGCTTTATTTCTTCCTTATTACTTTATTAATTTTCCTGGCTTTTACTTAGTACTATTAATTCGAAATAACAGTTATAACTTATTACTGGTAATAGTAATGTGCTACTCCTACTAGACATATACAATAAGATCCTAGCTTTGTCCCTTGGTAGTTTGCGGTAGTAAGATGAGCGAGTTTAAGAAACAAATATTCGGAAACTATGATTTTCCAAACTTTAATGAGTCTATTCTAGCGCTTATTGTCAATTCATCGAGTAACAAGTATTTCGATGCATCGATTGAATATATTAGATAAGAAACTGTATGAAATATTATAATGTATTTTTATATGAATATAGCTAAAGTGAGTTCATTATTATTGATTTCTTGCATATTCTATTTGGAGAAGAAACGCTCACGCTTATCAGCACTCATGACCGTGAGCTACACACCTCTAATCCAGCAGGATCCATGTTTTTTACATCGTTTGAAGATTGCTGTAAAGCGAATCAGTTTTTGGTGCATTGTGGTAGACTCCGACGTATTTAGTAGATTGAAGTAGCTTCTAATAGATTTCCTTACACTCCAGTCAAACTATTGTGAAAGCTAATACCCTTTATTAGGAGCAGCAGGATCCACCAAGATCCATCAGGATCCAGGATCCGCTTTTCCCCCCTTGGTTGTAACCGTGGATAAATAATATAGTTGAAATCAAAGTTTCAAACGATTAAATAATAAAACGTGCATAGTAGTGGAGTGTGTGTGTGTGATTTAGTCGTCTCTCATGACAATTAAATATGAGTTTTACGATGAAAATACTTGAAGTTCGCATAGGTCTAATTAGTTTCGAATTCTAATTTAGAACATCAGATTTTCCATTTTTATTTATTGTCAGTTCTGTTTTTGTTTAGATACTATCTAACAATTGAACAGCGCTGCCGAACCATGTTAAAAACAGTCCGGTGGTTTGCCGAGACATACGTACTTCATATCAATGTAGACCTAACACAATCACTTCTAGTTTAGTATTTTCGTTAACAATTATTAAGCCAATAGCAGTACTTGAAGATTTCTGTCCAACAAGATGACACCTAATATGATTGGTAATAAATTAGATATATATATAAATAGTTCATCTTTATTAATAACAAAATTTAATGAACATGCAAGAGCCATGGAGTCTTTCGTTTGATGTCAACTTTAGCTCGATGCCGTATAGAATATAGATGATCGAGTAGAAATCATTTTTGCGTACATCGCGTGACAAGTCAACATAGATGAAAGAAATTTTTCTCGATTGTACTGATTCATAAGTTATTGATCCTGTCAACTTCTATATCTCTAAATATAGTTTTTACAAATTTAAGAAATCCTATCTAGCGAGAATAATTATGAAGTAAACATAGGGGAGAAGACTTGCGAAAAAAATAATTGGGTGTCTCAGTGACGAGATTGTTCCATGTTAATTTGAAATAATTTATTCATTTTTATGACTCAATTTAACAGCCACATTAATCTCTGCTGCACTTGATAGTACGACATTAACTGCTGTTATATTCTAAGCTGATCTGACTGAGACAACATACTGTGTACGACATCCCGAGCGGAGCATATCAACTTTCTCAATTGGAAGTTTGTTCTCATCAACGATTACATAGTAAAGATCTTGAAAAAGTCAAAGAAGCATCGAGCAAAACATATTCTATTCTATAACATCCTGAAAGCAAAATTATTATCATCCATTAGCAAAAAATAAAATTGGTTGATCATAATTCTGTATCTAATTGTTTGTGTCATGCTAATATTGAGAAATCATTGGTTATTAATGTAGTATGAAGTATTTCATTTTGAACTATTGACAAAAGAGATCGACTCTTTTTAACGAACCTGGAAGCTTTGGTGAATCACCAATGAGAATAAAATTATCTGAAGATTTTTTTTCTTTAAAATACATCATTTATTGTTGTGATAATTGACGAACTGAATAAAACGAAACGTTCAAAAAAAAATGAACTTAATTGGTTGTTTCTTGTATATCCTGAAATGGATTTTGCATAGCGATGGTCTCTTGTGTTCGCTTATTTCCAACACGAAAACTAATATTTCGAAAAGTAAGACCACCACTAGGAGATCCTTCAGCTTTTCTTTTCATCATAAGTATAACAACAAAAACAGTTATTGCTCCTAATACAACTCCAACAAGCATTCCACCAATAACTGCACCTGCTTGGGCTCCATCGGAATATGTAACTTTTTCATAAACTTCTTCGATTGTTTCTACAATTGTTCTATTAACATGTACAGTTGTATTTGAAAAATAATCGATTTGGTTAATGCTAATATTAGGATTGAATGCATAGAAATATTGAATATTTTCCAATGAACCCGATATAGCCTCAATTATAAAACCCTCATCCGTACGAAACTGCATTTGACCATTATTAATACCGAATTCAAGTTTATTTTTAGCATCAAGTAATTCAATTTCAGAGTTCGGATCAACAAACGGTGTTCGATCAAGTAAAGTAAATATACAATAGAGTGTATCATTATGACCTGGTTGATTAGGATGATGATCAATCTCCAATTGTGAGATGCGTAAATATTTTAATGACATAATACTAATCATTTGTGCACGAATATGTTCCGCTAGAGTTCGTCTGCAAAGAATTAACAAGAAACTATTAATAAATCAGAGGAAAAATCTTTTTTGTTTAGATCGTCACCGATTTATTGAAGTATTTTCAATACCGTCTGCTGTTGTTTGATTGGTAATTTTGAGTTGAAATGCTAAATGTTCATACCATAATTGATTTGATCGATAGCATAGATTAACATCGAATTCATCTAGATGTACATCGGTTCGATAGTCATAAAATTCATAATGAACATTAGCAGGTGGTTCATTCATATTTTTGTATAAATTTAAATTAAGATAAACTGGATAATCATAGTTAGATTCACTATCATCAATAAAACGTTTAGACCATCCCCATTCAATATTTGTCGATAACCAATTATCATCGGAATCTAATGGAAATGATGATATTTGACCAATAAATGTTGAACATAAAATTGATCCACGACATGGACGACTGCCAGTATGTTGAAAAAAGTGGTCAGGAGGTTTTGAAATAAGAAAACTTTCATATTTTATTAATGATTCAATTGGATTATGTAGTATTGATAACAAGGAATTGATTGCAGCGAATTTCTCTATAACACATGAACCTGTACGACGATCTATTTTATATGCACGCGGTGCATCTACTGTATCATCAAATATTATTGTCATTGGAGTTTGAGTATTGTCAAATGGTGTATAATCATAGCGAATTAATTTTCGTTCAAGTGACAGACGATAACGAAGATGCACTGAATGCCAAAGTTGTTGAACCGTTGTCGAAGCATCAATACGAACACTGAATTTATCAGGAAATTTTATATTGAAATCTGTTAAACTTATAAGTTCATTTTCTGGAATGGAATCATTACAGAAAATTCCTTGAGGTGGTAGAATGTCAGTTTTAACTATTTTTGTTTTATAACTAAAAATACTGAATATTTCAGAAATAAATCCATCACTTTTTCGCTTTGTAATACGTTGTATCGGTATAGAATAATTCGTAGAATTCCATGGCATAGGATAATTTGATTTTGCAAATGACCAAATAATATCTGAGTCATTGGTTAACGTTGAAATCCATTGATTAACATGAATAGAACCACGTTGAATATTTTCTCCAAAATAAGTTGCATTTGATGTTAAAAGAAAAAACTCGTTTAATGGTCGAATATGTGTTGTACTATCATCTGGATCTGTTACACCAGAAAATCCATCTGCTGAATTATCAATATCTATCGGATAGACAGTACATTGTTGTAATGTATTTCTTAAATAGACGGTTTTTTTAAGTGATGTGTAATTATAATGGACATAGCTGTGTTCACTAATTTTAATAAGATAATTATTATCATAATCATAAATATAGTCTTCATTTGTACGTTTATCTTGGCCATCAAGTTTCAAATGTTGAATAGTAAATTCAGCTTGTCTAGGAAAACGTGGATAAACAACGTTATCATCTCCGTGAATAATGATTATCAATGTTAAAATTACAGCAAAAACGAAATGCAAAGTATACATCATCATAAATGTTTAAACAAATGAATTCAAGTATATGCCTCCTTTATGTTCTTATCGCATCCGCCATAGGTTTTTTTTTGTTGTTATCATTATATTAAACATTCAAAATGTTTGGTAAACTATTTTTATTATCATCAATTATCTGCGTACTTTTTCGAATTTCTCGATGTCAACAAATTGATTTGAATATTTGTCCAAATGGTCTTACACCGTCACCAACAGACCCGAAATGGCCTACAACAATTCCGAATCATTTTGAAATTTTCAGTGAAATTACAACAGATATTGCAACTTTTGAAGTTACGCAATCATTTGTTGAATCTCGTAGAGATCATATTCATTTTCGTACTTATGAGAAAAATCTAGAAGTATATTATGATTTCGATACAAACGAAATATTTACTATCAATGATGATTTACAATGTGCTCGTTCGGAAATACAACCAAATGAAAATTTCCCATTTATTACTAGTCAATATCTTAAACCATCGATTTTATTAGGGTTCGATGGACGAAATAATAATAATATTGGATTTTTTACACGATATATTGGAGAACAGACGATTCATGGTGGAATTTTAACAGAAAAATTTCAATCATGTTTTTATATATATCAAGGAAATTTAACAATTAATGCAACTTATTATTTAACTGCGTTGCCACCAAATGAAGCGAATATACATCGGATATCTGATTTAGTTCAAATCGATGTTCGATCAAATAATTATCCATATACATTGAATATTATTCGTTATGTATCCAATCCTTCATCTACTCTAACAACACCATCAGGTGTATACTGTCCAAATCGAATACAAACTAAAGAATTTCCTAACAATTTACCATCACGTTTATCATTACATTCTGAAGCTTATACAATTAAAAATACGGATATCCCATCAAGAATTGAAACATACAATCGTCTTATTGATGAAACATTAAAATTCGAGAGAATCGATTATGATTTAGGTGTGGCGTTAAAACCGATGTTACCCGATACAGCATTCGTTGATTATGCATATAATTTAACGTATATGTATACACGTGCAACAGAGCAATGCACAGTACAGAATGCCAATGCTAATCCAATGGAAACAGTAACTGAAATATTATTTCAATTCGGTGCTCTTGGTGATTCGATTAAATTTCAATACACTGGATTAACTACTTGTGGACGTAAACATCTTCAATGTTATAGATGGATTGGTCAACGTAATATAAATAATGTCATTCAACAATATGAATGGTATTGGAGTGCAAAATATAATGAAATAGATTTGTCAGAATTTATTCCGATTAAAGTTAATGTGATGACAACATCGGTAGTAGGACCACCAAAAGTCACCAATCAAGAAATAAGTAGGTTTACATGCATGCTACTTTCTTAAAGGGGAGTTTACTTAAATCCATCGAAAAACCTTCAAGACTTTTGCTCCGCTCATATCTTGATGGCAGAAGAAAAGCTGGCAACAATACAAAATGAATGTTCGCTAATTAATTTAAAATAAACCTACATTTGTTATTTTTAGTTTACGATGATATTTCTTTTATCAAAACATTTCTATTGATTCGAATTCAATCATAGAAAAAGTCATATATGACTAGTCAAGCGAGAGCTCCTTTCAAAAAAAAAAACGTTTTCTATTGAATATTAATTTTCATCTGTCACTTTTCAAAGTCTATATCTCGACATGTTATTTTTTCGTTGTTAAAAGGTTTCTTCAACTATAATCCTCGACCGAATTCAATGGAAGCTATTGACTCAACAATTAGCAAATGTTATCGAGCATTAGGACCAAGTAAGAATTATAATTATGCTATTCTTCGTATGACGCTAAACAATGATGATAAATATCCAGTTCATCAATATTTACTATCGCTTCAAAATCGTGTTCACATGCAATTAGCAAATGATCTTAAAATTCGTCATGTTCGTCTATCATCATTTGTTATTGATGCAACACGTGATACAACTGATCATCAAGATAAAGATGTTTATATTACATTTACACTTCTTGACAATCCACCGGCCTCGTCCGATTCTCTTAAAGAATCGTCATCACTTGAATTGATACGAAAATTAGCTAGACAAATAAATGATGGAAATTTTCATGTACGAGATTCTGATGGAGCTTTTGATTTACAAGCTCGACCGAATAGTCTACGAACATTGGTACTTTATTTATTACCATCAGAAAATCACACAAATTATTTTAATGAAACAGTATTTGTTTATCAAAATGTTACACAAACAATTATTAAACAACGACAGAAATTAGTTTATAAAAGTACAGGTCCACAAATAGCTGCTTTATGGACGGGCTTTACTTTACTAGGTGTTATTGTTGCATTGGCTATAGGCTCATTCATTGCAATAAGAAAATGGACACCGATTATTGATTATCAAAGAACATAAGAAAACTTTAAGTAATATGTAAGCTTGTTCGTGAATGATTTTTTTTTCTTTTCGGCTTATTCAACCAGAAAACTTTTTTTTGTTTTTTCACATAACTTGCCATTTTCTACGAAATGAAGTGAGATACAAATAAATTTTCTACATCGAAGTTGTTCGATTCTCAACAAGTTATCGTGTTATCACATCGTTTGGTTACAAGTATACATTTATCCAATAAAAATAAATCTCAAATTAAAATTAAAGGAACCAATTTCATCAACCTGAAAGACAGTTTACAAAAAAAGTCAACTTCGATGTTCTCTATTTCTCACTTTTAACTATTCTGGCTGATGACTGATTATGTACAAGTAAACTCTACGCTACCGGTGTAAGACCATACATGAGAGGTTGCACTACTACTGCACGATGATGCTTTAGACTAGCCGTTGAAGTAGAAATGATGATGATATTGAGTATCTGATAAAATTAGTTTGTATCATATATTGAACGAATTTTCTTCAAAAAAAAACAGATATACCTGTATCTTTTAGAAAATGATACTTATACTGATAAGATAGACACGATAGTAAATAACCGTATATATTATTTATAGATTCTGTAGTTCTCCACGTCGGCGTTTTAAATATTTGTTTGTCATTGTGTAAATATGAAATGTTTGTTAATAGCGATAACAAATCGAGTAGGTGAAAGTTTTGAGTAAAAGATCGAAAGAATACGTAATCTAGTACTGTGTTTCTTTGATATTATCAATTTACCCTGAGAGATTTATCTTATCATGAAACTGAACTTGACCCATCAACAAAAAATCAGCTTCATCGTCGACAACAACTGAATTTTAATGAATTCACTTTTGTGGTAGTACGTTGTGTTGGACGAAATATTTTATTTCGCGATACTCAGACAAATTAAATTGATAAGTGAGAGCAAATTTTCAGATATTTCAAGTTCAAAAGAAAAGAAAAGCAACTGTCTTATAATTTGAGCCAAGAAAACATCTAGAATTTTGTCAAGAAAAACCTGTACTATACATAAATCACATAGTTTTTCTTTATCTGTCATGAAACTCGTGCATCAGATAATCAATTGTTCTGGCTGCACAAGAAAAATACGCTGCTTGTTCTGTCAACACACTTCGACAAATCCTACCTAATCAAATAAGTCAAAGATTTAGAGGCATTCCTTTCTACAGCAAGAGAAAAGAAAATATTCATCTAGAAAATGAACTTCTCAGTGCTTGAATGATAATTGTTGATTTTTTCAAACTTCTCTTTTGTACAATGATGTATGTACGAAAACTTTAGGTAATCAATTAAACAAAAGTAGACTAGAAAAAATTTCGCGCTGCATTTAACAAAGCCCAATTTTCATCGAGACAGTCACAGTTTCTTGAAATATTCGTTTGGCAGGTGTCTTCAAAGGTGATGGATGTTATTTTCATGCATAAAAAGTTATAGTTTTATAAAGAACTAAATCGCGCATCTATTGAAATACTGAGACCTTCAATTGTTTTTGATTCTATGGGTTCGAAATAGTATTAATCATGTCTAACAACCATAAGTAAAACCTTATTTCGATATATTTTCAATAATCAGTCCCTCCCATAGAGAACAACTAATATGTGCAACTAAGCAACGTGTTGTGTTTAAATCATTCATAAGATTTGATTAAACAATCGCAGCAGCGAACTCCTAAATGAATCTACAATGATTGTAAGAGGAAAGTTAGCCTTGAACATACTCAGACCTATACATTTATCGTTAAAAACACTTTCTCATATCACTTTTTGAATATATGCAATCAAGATACGGTTCCGTTGTCGACGCTTTCTGGCGACATCTTGTTAGACTAACGACCGAAAGAGGGAGGATGGGATTGTTGATGATGATAGTAATGGCGAAATCAGATGGACGGATCTTATTTTTTTGGATCATGCAAAAATAAAAATACCGAACTGAATGACATCAGTGTAAAAGAAATAATTCAACTGCATGTAAAACTACAAAAAGAAACATAAACAAAAACAATTTTTATTACTGGAACATTTGTATTTCTCATTTGCGTCTATTTATTTCGTACATAGCTATTTCTTGAATAATAGTGAATTCAATTTCCTCTCTATTTGTTTCTTCAGATGTTTTCGAAAGTAGTACCTTGGAAACGGGTAATTATATTTATAATGCTAGTTACGGTTACGATTTATTTATTTGAAAGATTACAAGCCGATGCTACAACAGTTCTGGTACTGCTGTTATCCTTCGAAATGCTTCGTCATCGAGTGGTGGTGGTAAGAAGATAATTAAGAATTGTTTTCAAGTGAATTTTAAATTTTCATCTAGAACAACAATTTGATCTCGTTGTCATTGGTTCTGGGCCTGGAGGATATGTAGCAGCTATTAAAGCGGCCCAACTTGGACTCAAAGTAAATTCATCATTTGAATCCGTGAAAATTTTGAAATAGATTTCGTCTACAGACGGCGTGTGTTGAGAAAAGTGCAACATACGGTGGAACATGTCTTAACGTTGGTTGTATACCTTCAAAAGCAATGTTACATAATTCTCATCTTTATCACTTGGCTCAACATGGTGAACTTAAAAAGCGAGGCATCGAAGGTATGTGATTACGATTTCGGTGGTAATCTATCAACAAAAATTGAATCTTAGTTCAAAATGTTACACTGAATCTGCCTGTGTTCTTGAAACAAAAAGATGATGCCGTTAAAGGTCTTACTGCTGGTGTAGCATATTTATTTAAATCTAACAAAGTATGACAACAAGAGTTATTTAGAAATGAAATAAAAATGATGTATCTTATAGGTTACTGGTATTCGCGGTTACGGTTCTGTCAGTGCTCCTGGCCAAGTCACTGTGAAAAAAGAAGACGGCTCAAATGAAGTTCTTAAAGCTAAAAATATTCTATTAGCTGTTGGTTCTGAGGTAACACCATTTCCAGGCATTGATGTAAGTACATGATATTTTATGTTATTCGATTCAAATTAATATAGAATTGATATTTAGATTGACGAGGAAACTATAGTTTCATCTACTGGCGCCCTGTCACTTAAACAAGTACCTAAAAAGATGGTCTTAATCGGGGCTGGTGTTATTGGACTTGAATTAGTATGCATTTGGTTTTCTACCAAAATTGAAAGATTATATTTCTCTATATTATAGGGTTCGGTATGGAGTCGTTTAGGTGCAGAAGTAACATGTGTAGAATATTTATCTCATATTGGTGGTGTTGGTATCGATATGGAAGTGAGTAAAGCATTTCAAAAGATCTTAGCCAAACAAGGTCTCAAGTTTAAACTTGACACAAAAGTAATTGGAGCACAAAAATCTGGTGGAAATATTAGTGTTAATGTTGAAGGAGCTAAAGGTGGTAATAATGAAACGGTAAAGATTTTGTTTTCTATATTTTTATTGTTAATGAATATCTCTATATTAAATTTCCAACAGCTTGATTGTGACACTGTACTTGTATGCATTGGTCGACGACCTTTCACAAAAGATCTTGGACTTGAAGGTGTTGGTAAGCAGATTTCTATTGACATTTCTATTGACATTATTTTTTCTTAATTTTTAGGTGTTAAATTGGACCAACGTGGTCGAATTGAAGTTGACAAAAATTTTCAAACATCATGCAAAGGTGTTTATGCTATCGGAGATTGTATTCAAGGACCTATGTTAGCACATAAAGCTGAAGATGAAGGAATTATCTGTGTAGAAGGTATTGCTACCGGTCACGAACCACATATAGATTATAATTGCGTACCAAGTGTTATATATACATTTCCTGAAGTATCATGGATTGGAAAATCAGAAGAACAATTAAAACAAGAAGGAGTCAAATTTAAAGTTGGCAAATTTCCCATGGCAGCTAACAGTCGTGCGAAAACCATAAATGAACCCGAAGGTTTTGTCAAAGTATTAGCCGATGCTAAAACTGATCGAATACTTGGAGTACATATCATTAACTCGGTATGTTTCATTAATTTTTTGCATTGTTGAAGTTTACTAAGATAATATTTTCTAGGTCGCTGGTGAATTGATTAATGAAGCTGCATTAGCTATGGAATATGGAGCATCATCAGAAGATGTAGCACGTGTTTGTCATGCTCATCCAGTAAGTTGTTTTTCTCTCGTTTGCTTATCATTTGTATTGATCAATAATTTATATTTCAGACATGGTCGGAGTCATTCAAAGAAGCTAATCTTCATGCTTCTTTTGGTAAAGCAATTAATTTCAGTTAGTAGAATTAGTGCAACACTGAAAACGAAATACAACACTGTTTTATCATAGTTACAGTTGTTTGTGTAATTTTAGTTCATTATTATTTTTGTCTTTCTGTATCTCTATATCATTCTCTCTTTTTTTTTTCTTTCTTTCATATGCTGCATCTTTCTCTTTCATCATAGTCTCTTGAACTCATCCACTTATAATAAAGAAAGAACGGACAGTGTTTAATTGAGCGATTTGTTGATAACTAAGATAGAATGAAAAAAAAATGTCCAAATGATTTGCGTTGCCATTGAATAATGTCATCTGGTCTTTATAAGTCAAATAGTCGAACATACCGTCTGTGTAACGCACTTCAAAATATCATTGATTTATGATTGCTTTAATGCTCAATTTGAATACGTGACAAGTACATTTGGAATGATGAATAATTACTTAACTTCATATTGTGATTGTAAAAATGTATTTAATCAAAGATAAAAAGAATTCAAGTTTCTGACAATTAAACGTTTCGAAAAACAAATTTCGATATTTTTCTTATTAGAAAATAAATATGATTACCTAAGATCGGTAATGTTCGACTAGTAGATTGGATACAAATGATGAGTATTACTGTATTGTAATAAATATTTCTTTCGATTATTAAATAGGTGCAAGGATACTGTAAATTGGTTGATCTATTTTTCATAATCAATGGAATCAAGTCTAAGGTATATCTATCAAAGATGAATGCGCTTAAAAAATATGAAAACTCCACATAACTTTCCTAGTTTCAGTTATTTGTTCTAAAAACTAGCCACTAAAACTGTTCACTCGCATCTAAAACATTAAATATTAGTTTCCTTTCGTTTTAGTACAGTAAACATTCATAGTACGGCGATAAAACTATTTGCTCAGGTTGTCGAACTTTTAATAGGTCAACAAATGAAGCAAAATTCAGAAAAATAAAATAGTAGTTTGGCAGTGGATGGATAATTTTGAAGAGTAGCCAGGCATATTTAGTATAATTTTTGCATTGTTTTTCTCTGAAATCATTTTCTGGAGAATTTCATACAATTAGAAAAAAACGACTTTGATTTCTAAGTCTATAGAGATATTCACAAAAATGCTGTCATAATCATTTTAGGGGATAGCTACATCATTCACATCACAAAAAAGAAAAAGAAAAAGAAAAAGAGCGATGAATAGATTTTATCCTTCTTATCGTTGATAGTGATAAAACAAATGATGTAATAGCGAAGGAAAGTCATTGCCTTGCACATTTTTGCGAGTCAAGCAGACTTTATCAATAACTATATTATGAAGTCGATCATTTAGAATGTTTCCTGGTTGATAAGTAGTCCTTGATTTAAAATTTTTTCCTCTCTTGTCAATTAGAGATTAGGTGACTCCTGAAAGATATTCTTTTTTTTACTTACTCACAGAAATGTTAAATGTTCGAGTAATGTCAATTGATTTTTCTATTTATTTCAGTGTTTAGTATCTTAGTCAAGATTGTCTTTTACCGAACAGATTTGAAAATAAAAATAAAGCCATTGCCTCGACGAATAGAGAAAACCATTGATTAAATCAGCTCAATTGTATCTCGTCAATTTTGCCACTTTCCTTTCGATAGAAAAGAATGCGAACAATAAGAACTTGAAGTTCAAACAAAAGATGCCATTGAATCACAGTTAGATTTATTTTCCGACTCGCTTATTAAAACATTATTATAAAAGTTTGTATTAAAGAAAAAGTCATAGATCATTTTCATTCACCTTGTAGCAAAGATTTAGTAAGAAAATAAATATAAATATGTAATATCTTCGGGTAGAAAGAGTTTATAACATTTATTGTTAAATAAAAACTACACATGAACAATGCAACATTCAAAAGAAAAAGAAAAAGAAAAAGAAATTTCATCTTGAGGACTTTCTCTAGGTCATTTTCTGAAGAAAAAGATTGTAGTGTTGCAAACGTAGATTGTCAAGCATCTATTTCTTATTGTATATTTTCTTAGTAATTCGATCTTTTAAATTCAAATATTAGAATAAAGGGCGTTTTTTTTTTGTCGATATTTTTCTCTAACAACTCGATCTCTATTGTTTTATTAAAGAGTTGCTCTCATAAATAAACTCATTTCATTGACATAAACGTTTGCAGTCCACCAATAGAAGAAACATTGTGATAAAACAAATTTAACAATTTCTTTCTTTCGTTATAAAATGATGAAAAAATATTGTTATTTACTATTTTTTTTTTCGAGAAGCACTTATTTATCCTAACTACTAAGAGTCGAAAGTCAAAAATGAAATTTTAATATAGATTTAAAAGTAAAGTATTCAAAAAAAAACAGCAGCTTGTTTAAGCATAGATGGAATCCTTTTCAAGGGCAAGAACAAATAAATGATAAATTTCTTATTTATCATAGGAAACCGAGTGATGGATTAAAACCGTTAGACGAAAGTTATATAATTATGACATTCAATCAATCGATCTATCTAATTTAATAGAAGCAATCCGTTAGGAAGGTCATATGATTTGTTTTTTTGTATAGTTTCCATTCGGCAACACATAAGAATTAATTTTCATCAGACAAGAAAATATTAAAAAAGAACTTGTTACAGCCGTTGTAAGAGATTTATTTGGGAATGGTTTTTTTATATGTAAATGAAAAATAATAGTAACACCTTTCTTTTCCGAGAAACTTAATTCAAACAGACATACACGCATATGTTGTCTTTTGTTATTGTTCTATGCAAAAGAAAAACACACAATCAAAATCGATCTCGCGTTTGGCTGCTTCTTCTCAATTTCGCTCGTATTATTTTTAGTCATGCTGATTGAACTCTCGACTTTCTGTCTATTTCCAATATTTAATCGTAGGTGGACACTTGAGTTGCATAGAGTGACAATTGCGACTATTTGATCCTCATGCTTCCGAACATTATAACGCCCTTGTGTCGGGTGCGAGACAGAGCATACGACTCTCTTTCGCTCTCTCTCTCTCTCTCTTTCTTGTTGTATATAAAACTTTTATGCTTGTCGTTGGTGCTCTTTGAAAATTGTTGAGATGCGAGAAATAGTTGCAAACAGCAAGAGAAATAACGATACTATTAAAAGACAAGCTGTCAGTTTCAAAAAAAAAACGAGGAACAGGCGCTGATAAGTATTCATAACCTACACCGTTACAAGAAAACAGACAAACACTCATTTTTTTTCTTCTGTTTCTCGTTAAACTGACAAAGCCTTACTAAAAAAAAAAATGAAAATTACGTTTTTAGTGATGATGACATTTCATTTTCGATTATAATAATGGCACTGAATTATGAAACACTAATACACGCTGCTAGTAAACCTCCCGGACAACGAACCACAAGGGAAATCAATGATTTTATATTTCCATGGCTTAAGCAATCATTAAAAAAGAAGCAAGGAATATTTCAAAAAATTTCCGATGGTAAAATTAGTTTTTTACTTTACGTTTAAACAAAATCTCATGTTTAAGATGTGATTCATGATATATGTAAAACAATTACATTGGAACGACGTCCCGCATGGGATGTTGTTATTCATCAAGGAGATCCGGGTGATACGTAAATTATTGAGAAAATTTCTTTATTGAAAATTTATCTCATAAGATTATTTCCATAGGTTTTACATTATTTTACAAGGTTCAGTAAACATTTATCGCTTCGATGACGACGGTCCGAAGCCAGCTGAACTTCAATTAGACACTGTATCAGAATTTACAAAACTTGATAGTGACTCTGAAAAACGTGAAGAACTTATAGCACAAGCATTTGGAAATTACATTGTTACTTTAGGTAAGGAAAAAACATCGATTTGAAACTGTCTATTTTTCTTCTAACTATACAAAAAAAATCAATTCAGAAGCAACTGACCGTACTTATAGGCATTGTAAGAAAAAGATGATTTGCTAATATTAAGAAAAAACAACAAAAATCATCGCTTTTATGTAATTATGATGAAAAATATTTTATTTGAAATTAATTTTTCATGATGACTGTCTAAAAAAAAAACAAAAAACGATCTCACTTCGATTTCAGTTGGTGGCTTTGATTTTGGTGAACGTGCACTTATTACAAATGAACCACGAAGTGCTACTGTTATGACAATTATTCCAACAGATTTATTAGTTGTTGGTCGAGAAGTTTTTAGTCGGTATGTAAAAATTTTGACATTGACTTATTTGAGTCTAATTAAATTCTTCTACTTTCTTTTGTTTCATTAAAAAAAAAAGAACACTAAAGGCAGCACACGAAAAAGAACTTCAAGAAAAAACCGATTTTATTAATCGATGCCCATTATTTTCTTCATGGACACCAAGACTTAAACGTCTTGTTAGTCTTAGTTTAGAACGCGGTAGATTTTCATATGATAGTGCACTATATAAGCAAGGTACACATGCTGATGCTGTCTATTTTATATGGAGGTAAAATCGAAGTTCGATTTTGTTTTTCTTCTAAAAGGAATATTATCGTCACTAATTTAGTGGTGAAGTTAAAATAACTATGGATCCATTATTACATTGGTTACAATATCCAAACCTTCTTCCACAATCCGATTCCATGAAACAGTAGATTGATTCTCTCGTTTGATTTCTTCTCTTATTTTTCTACTTAATGTAATTGCATCTTAGGCGTGCTCTTGAATTGTTTTTACCGATGCTTCAACGATCTGAACCCGCTAATGTTCATATTCCAGCAATATTGAGTACAGATATGCATAGAGAAAGTTTTGCTATAAAACGACGCCATATGACATTTGCAGAAGCGGAAAAAGAACGTGCTCAACGAATATTACAATTAGTCCTATTGAGTACAGGCGATATTGTGGGCCTAGAAGCTTATGTATGCGATTTAGCGACACATCTAAATGCAGCTCGATGTACAGCTCCATGTGATTTGTTTTATATATTAAAACATAATTTTGAACGTTTACAAAAACGCCATGGTGCTCAAGGTTTAGGTGAACGTCTACGTGAAATGGTGCTTCTTTCAATGCAAGCATATCCAACGCGTATAATGCATCTACCATTATTTATTTCTCTAATGAAAAGACAATTGGCACCGCCAATAACCGATGATCAAACATTATATCATACTAAACAATCGTGGCTTTTACATACTAATCATAATGCAGCTCATCCGGTTAGTTTTCTTTTTCTCTAAGTTAATATTTTGTTTTTATTATTGAATTGATGATATAGCACTTGCGTCGATCAGGTACAACATTTTATGCCAATGGTAAAGATCGTTTCATGGGAACTACAGCTGATTCTCGAACAGACGCACGTTCATCTCGGTCACATCGAGTGGAAAGTTCAATTGCAATAAAATACGTAACCAAAGATCAGATTTGCGTTGAAAAACTTGAAGATCGTCTTAAAAAATGGCACGCACAAATGGGCGATGATTCAAAAGCACAAATAAGACCATTAACACGATTCGTACGTTAATCCTTTGCTTGTACAAATAGATCTGCTGAGTATCTTAATGGAGGAATTTTATAAGAGCAGTCATTGTCGCAATGAAAATTGCTACCATAGTTCATGTGATTGATTTTCTATTTTTGAGTACAAAGAATCAATCGATTACAATTATTGTTTTTATTTTTAAAGACTATTGTCATCATTTTTCATTATAGCATGTTCCTGATGTAACTCCGAATGATATAATATCAACATTTCCAGTACATGAGAAAACCGAAGCTCAATCAAACGGTATTGTTGTTTCAGCAAGGTATGACTTTAATTGTAGTATTTGCTGTTTTCTTTTACTAATTTGGCGAAATTTAGTAATTAATACCCATTTCAAAACAGAAGACAGAAAGGCGGGCGAATAATTTTCTGATAGAAACAAGATGGAGAATCGTATACTAGAAATCTTTTGCTCTGTTAGATTATTTCGATTGCTTTCAATAGATATTTTTGAAAAGTAATTTTTAAAGTGAAGTAACTCCAGTGATTTTATGAATATTAAATATTAAATATAAATGCAATCTACTAATTAAAAATCTATGAAAAAAAGAGTCACAGGTTCAAGTCGTTTAAATTGAATCTAACAGGAGCTATGAGTTTTCTGCTCAAAATTAAACTCGAGAAGAATCAATAATTTACCATGTGCTATGAGTTCATAGGCTTAGCCTACCAGTCAAAGTCGCAGTGCTCAATCTTGTCTCTATCGAAATTTATATTCAAAAAATAATTATTTAAACGCCTTCTCGTTTGAAATGGGTATCTCTAAGTTTTATTATTCTTAATCAATATAAATAGGCGGCCTACATTGAAATCATTATTAAGAAGTCAAACTGTAAGTCCCACCATATTTATCCACATATGCATACGTACCCATATAAATAAATATATATATATCGTTGCACAACTTTTATTTATGCACATACTTGCATTTCTGCGAACTTCATACATATCGTCTGCTACTTCACTTCCCTTATATATTCTATTAATCAAAAGCATATCATAATTTGTTTGTTGCATTTTATTTTCATCAATATAGTTTGTCCGGTGACGGTGATGAGTTAATAAGTCCTCTTGAACAACTTCTTGTGAATGTACAAAATACTTATAACCAACCAATATCTACATTTGATTCAGTAAGCGTGTTGAATTTCGCTCTACTGAAAAGTAAACTATTTGTTCTTTTAAGAATATTTCAAAATATCCTTCAAACTTTAAGCTACCGCCCATGCAAATTTATTCAAAACAAGAACTCTATGAAGAGAAGCGAGCTAAGTTAAAAACAGCGTTGAGAAATTTTTACAAACGCTCCGTTCCAACTTATAATTAAAAAAAGTTTTTTTTTTCTTCGAAGCTTTTGTATTATTATTTTTTTTTGTGAAAATAAAAGCACTGTTGTGGTGATTAGGCTGTGCAAATCAGAATAATTATTCATGTGAAAATTAAAAAAAGTTCTATTCAATGAACAATGACATCAAAATGTATAACTATAACTGTTTTGTGAATCTCTTGGTTTTTTTCTTCTTTCCTGTATAGTTTAATTTGTCTTTCATTTTCCTGGCTGGTTGACGAGTCATCATTGAAGAAACAAAAAAGAAGAAATATTGACACAAGAATGGCAGGAATAAAAACTGGCTAGTTGAGCAACTATGCGTGCATACACACGCATGTTTTTTTCTTTTTCTTTTTCTAACTTCCCTCACTTCCTTTTTTACCTAGTTACATATTTTAATACAGGATGAGGGTCGTTTAGGCATCGAATGCTAGGTATATAATATTCATCTAGCGTTACGCTTGATGGCTCTAAGCGAAACAAGAATATTCGATACGCAAATGGTCACCATCACCATTCGAGTATGACAAAAACAGACTATGTTAGTATAAATTTAATAAACTTTTACATTTTAACAATAATAGGTGCAAGCCTTTCGATTGGTTGCAGTTTTAATTGTTAGTGTATTCATTCTGGTACTATATCTTCTTCGTCAACCTACGCATTCTATTGATAGTGATGTGAATATAGAAACAGCACCGGAATTAAATGCAGATGCATCAGTAAATATTATAGACTATTTTTTTTGTATTTCAATTTTTTTTAATACTCTGATTGATTTATTCAGGGAAGTCGTTGGTCGATAGGACGTGCACAGTTGTGGTACGCCTCTCAGCCATGGTTACTGGGTGCAAATTATTTACCGTCGACATCTGTAAATGTCCTTGAAATGTGGCAAGATCAATTTGATGAAATAACAATACAACGTGAACTTCAATGGGCGAGTTATCGATTACGAATGAATACCTTACGAGTTTTTCTTCATGTACTTGTATGGATGGAAGATTCAATCCAATTTTTTAAACGCCTAGATACATTTCTTGATATTGCACAGAAAAATAATTTAAAAATTATGCTTGTTTTATTCGATGAGTGTTGGAATGCTGATCCACATTTAGGCGAACAACCAGAACCTATACCAGGTGTACATAATTCACAATGGGTTCGATGTCCTGGTCAATCCATGGTGCTAAATAAAACAAGTTGGCCTATACTTCAAGAGTAAATATAATTTAAAAAAAATAAAGAATTTCAATCTTATTGAAAAATATATCTCTGTAGATATACAAAACAGGTTATTTATCGCTACAGATCAGATGAGCGTATTTTTGCATGGGATCTATATAATGAACCTGAATGTAGTAAGCAAGTTCATATTGTGTTACCTTTATTACGCTATATATACAGTGCTGCCAGGTCTGTTAGTAATGTTCAACAACCTATGACTATTGGTATAGCTACATGGCCATTATCAACACCATTAGCTTTGTTTGAACTATCTGTATCAGATATACTAACGTTTCATTCATACAGTACATTAGTAAATCTTATGCAAAATATAACTGATCTACGTCAAATGGAACCAGGTCGACCTATACTTTGTACGGAATGGCTTGCACGTCCGTTTGGATCAACTCTATTTACACATTTGGAGTATTTTCAAAGTGAGAAAATCGGTGCAATACAGTGGGGACTCGTAGCTGGTCGATCTCAAACATACTATCAATGGCGCTCACCAGCAAATGCACCGATGCCAAAAATATGGTTTCATGATGTTTTATATTCGAATGGAACAGCATTTAGCAAATTAGAAGAAAGATTTTATTTTGAATTGAACCATTGAAATAAAAGATGTAAACGAAAACAAATAAAACAATGCTCCTATGATGTTAGTTATCGAATTCCAACACGAAACATATTCTTGATGTTGTTATTTCATGAAAAATATTGAAGAAAATACAAATGTTGTTTTTTTCTTCTTTGAAATACGATAATCCTCGAAATATTTAATTTCTATTATACAAAAAAAAAGAGAGGATTATGTTCACCTGATTATGCTGAAAATAGTATACAATGAACAAGAGCAGTTTTCTTGTTGTTTCTATCAATAGATAGAGATTTATACAGAAGATTATAATTTCATTATTGCACCTGCTTTTACTAGCAACAAGTGAGAACATGGTTGATTTTTCACTTGTTTAAAATAATCCTAGAGTAGAGTGACGTTATCATTAAAAATGAAGAGGAATACAACAAAGCGAAACAGAGTAATTGATACTTCTCTTTGGCGTGTTACTTTTTACCAAGAGAAATAAAATGAAGTCTACACACGGTTCAATGCTTAACTCCTGTAATCTGTTTTTAAAATATTCATCCTTCAGCATTCAGAAAAATCACGTAAACTAAGACAGTATATTGATTATATAGATATTTAGATTCAAATTAACTTTTCTGTTAGTTTTAGCTGCAAGTTATTATTGACAATTACTGCAAAGTATACTGCTCGCCGACACGTTGTTTCCAGCTGTAATCTTTCATCTAATATTTCTCATCGGTAACATAAACAGCATGTGGAGAACAAATAATATAGTAGCATTTGGTAGGAAAATACATCTATATTTTTAGATAATTTTCAAGCTCCTACTGTGCACTTCTCTGGTACATTTATATGCACATATGTTGTTTACTATTCCAGTCTTCTTTTGCAAATCGAATTATGTTGTATTTATTTGTAGTTCCATTGAAGAAGAATGCTAATTTTTTGTAGAAACAGACGAGTTTTATTGTTTCTAATTTAGGCTAGAAAAACTAGTCAAGTATCTAAGCAGATGTACTATGAATAGAAACTAGACATTTGCTTCATTGAATAAAAAATAGCAACTACTCAGTATAAGAATTGATTTTATTGGCTTAAGCTAAATATAAAGCAAAATGAATAACAAACTCCATTCATTTATGTAAATAAATATTCTGAAAGTCTTAACGTGATAATTGTTATCGTAGTAGGATGTTTTTCAAGGTTCATTTAATTATGATCCACATGTCACTCAAAATAATGATTTTGAATAGTAGATGATAAGCGCTCGCCTCAGCCTACCATTCTCGTTTATCTTTGTTGACACTTAAAACTTGAAGTATAGCATTACAATAGATTTTATTTCGCTCATAAACTGACTTTTTTAATTGTACTCAAAGAATAGATCAATTTATTCCTTCTGAGTCTATGAATAGAAGCTAAAAATAAAATAATTTGCCTAACTATCCAAATAAATGATAAGCCAAAACTTTAATCTATCGCAGTCAAGATCAAATATCGTTCTTCAAGAGAAATCTCTTTGTGTTAATGAGTATTAAAATAAGAACGCTTTTGAATATCATGCAATATCATTCAGAACAGTGTTACTGACGAGGAACTTGAGAAATACCAAAGCACCAGTCTGCATATTCATCTGGTCTTTTGACTCAATTTCACAATGAGATGTATTGCAGAGTTAATAGAAAAATATTGAAAGTTGCTGTCACATATATCGAGCTCTACATCCCGAGTTGTGCATGTTTGTTATACATTTCGAATAAATCGTTCAATAATTAACTAAATACTTTTCCTGTACACTCAGAGCTAACTGTAAAAACTTCATCAGCATTGGAAAAAATCTCGTATGCAAAGCAAAACACATCTTGAATAATAAGATTTCACTGTATCGTCAATTAATACGTATGTATCTATGATGTTAGTTATTCTTATCTGCTTAATGATAAGAATTTCTCATGCAAATTTTTTGTACTCGTGATATTTTTTGTTGATAATGTAGTTTCAATTCGAATCAATCAAAATTTGAAATTTCTGTAGGATTCGTCAAGATATATTTCATTTCATGAAGTGAACAACAGAGTATGGTAAAAATCAATTCACTTTTCAAGTCAAAAAATGAAGATATACATTTGATCGAGATCATTGATTTCTACCAGGTTATAGGGACATAGAGGATAGTCATTGTAAATGCTAGAATCTTAACTCGGGGTATACTATTCGATAAGTAGTATATTCTGTTTTCATCATCGTTTAGAGAAAAAATATCGATTAACCTACAAGTCAAACAGAAAAAACGATTTTTTGTTTTTTGAAAGATTTTCGCAAGATAGCTAATAGCCATAATTATTCTTTATACACTTTCATGGCACCCATATATTCAACTATTCTTTTTAATGAATGCTAGATTGGAATAGGTAAAATAGCCTGAATGTAGATAGTCACGCAAAAAGTATGATATTTCTTCTATTTAAATAATTATTTCTAAAGATGAAACGACGGTATTTTTCTTAATTTTCAGTTTTTCCTCCTTATTAAGAAAACTACAGCATATTCAGGCTCTGCTTCATACTTGGGAGATCTTAATAATAATAATAATAGTAGTAATATGTTTCTCTTGGTTATCTCTATCAGAATAAAAAAGAACATTATCTTCTCCTCTATATACTGTTCAATCGATATATCCTCCTAATATTATCGACATCTATAATGGTTAAAACTTCGAAAACGAGCAGTAAAATATTTAAAGATGATTTCTTTAACTAAAAATCTACGTAAATAATAAAATTAATATGCCATAATTCAATTTTATGAAACGCCATCTATTTATTTGCTCTTATTTCCTCCATTGATTGATCGCCTATCAAAGATACTTATGAATGGCCGCCCTCTTATTTATTTGTTTTATCTTTGTTCCTACCGTCATCACCTATTGTCATTCGCATCAATCTAAAATTGTTTTGCATTTACAGTCATACATAATTGAATAATACTTTTTTTTGTTGTTATTTTTTTTTTTGATTGTTAGTGCGAATGTCGAATGTCTAGTTCAGGGGGCAGCAACGCCAAAAAGCCGCGAATAGACTCGAACAGTCTTCTTTCGGGTATGTTTAATTAATAGTAGGAGTTCAGACGTCTAATTTACAAGAAAAATATATTTCTGTTGCTAGCTATACCTTCACGAATGCCAATATCAAATGGGCCGGGTACAGGAGGTACTCGACCACTCGTTGCATTACTTGATGGACGTGATTGTTCCATTGAAATGCCGATATTAAAAGACATAGCAACTGTAGCTTTTTGTGATGCTCAATCAACATCGGAAATTCATGAGAAAGTATTAAATGAAGCAACTGCAGCACTTGTTTGGCATGCAATAACTTTGAAAAAGGAGGATCTAGCCAAATTTAAAGCTCTAAAATTAATTGTACGTATTGGATCTGCTTATGATAATATCGATATTAAAGCAGCTGGTGATCAAGGTATTGCTGTTGCAAATGTTCCATCGCAATGCGTTGAAGAAATGGCTGATACAACATTAAGTATGATATTAAACTTGTATCGACGTACAGCATGGTTAGCTCAAGCAGTTAAAGATGGTAAACGTGTATCAACACCTGAACAAATTCGTGAAGTTGCATCTGGTTGTGCACGTATTCGAAATGAAACATTAGGCATTATCGGTCTTGGTCAAGTTGGTATGGCTGTTTCTCTACGAGCAAAAGTGTTTGGTTTTAACGTTATATTTTTTGATCCGTATCTTTCCGATGGAATCGATAAAGTTTTAGGTAAAGAAAAAAATTTCTTGTTTAACCTATCATTATTTTTCTATGATCATAGGAATCACTCGGGTATTTACATTACAAGATTTACTATATCGTTCTGATTGTGTAACACTTCATTGTTCACTTAATGAACATAATCATCATTTAATTAATGATTTTACCATCAAACAAATGAGACCAGGTGCATTTCTTGTTAATGTATCACGTGGTGGTCTTGTTGATGAAACAGCATTAGCTGCAGCATTAAAAGATGGTCGAATTCGAGGTGCGGCATTAGATGTACTTGAAAATGAACCGTACAATTTAGCTGCTGGTCAGACATCTTTATGTTACATTTAGTTTTTTGATTGATTTTTCTTTCGGAATTTCAGGTCCATTAAAAGATGCTATTAATTTAATATGTACACCACGTACTGCATGGTTTAGTGAAGCTAGCTCACAAGAAATACGAGAAAATGCAGCACATGAAGTACGACGTGGTTTAACAGGAAAACTACCTGGTTCACTTCGATATTGTGTTAATCGAGATTATCTTAACGGACCACGTAAGTGAAATCAATTTTTTTAAAATTATAAACACATTTTTGTTTTTCTTCTCATGAATTAGGTTCAGCTTTTGAAACTGGTCTTAACGGAGCATCACTTTCATCATTATTTCCTTTAGCAGCGCCATTTCTATCAACAGCCGGACATCTCCTAGGCGATCCATCAGCTGTAGGAGCAATGCCACCATCCATTTTACCATCAGCTCTTCAACAAGCAGCCAGCGCAACATCAAGTAGCAGTACGCCATCATTACTTTCATCAACTGGCAATAATTCACCTGTTGTAGTACCTGTTAGTATTGGCGAATCGGCTTTGCAATCGGCAGCCAAAGCAGCAGCTGCCTCACATGGAAATAATAATAATGGTGGAGACTCAGCTGGAGATTAAATGCGCTAATCTACTAGTTCGTCTTCTTGTTTTCTTTCCTTGTGTTGTACATTCATTTCATTCTACTATTGTAGTTTGCTTCTGTATGTTTGCCTGTAGTTTTCTTTCTCATTCCACACTGGTCTGTTTGTATGTGTGTGTGTGTATGTTTGTGTGGAATATATGTTTGTGATGTGTCATTCTGTTTTTTTTCGTTTCTTTTTTTGGTCTATTCAAAATACTACATTGTTTCGGCTTGGAAAGTAATTGTCTGTGTTCTTCGTTTTTTTCTTCTTAAACTCGGATAAATAGTTCTTTTCTTTCCGTATTTAAACATACACGCACACACACAATAAAAACAAAAATATGTATTCACAAAACACGTCTGGAAAGGGAAAAAAACAATATTATCAATAATATATATGTATACACATTTTTTTCCTGTTTCAAGTTTAGTTTCAAAGTTTAGAAGAAAAAACTATTGTCGCATGTTAGTTTTCTAGAGCAAAACATTTTTATCATTTCATTATGTTCAATGTGGCATTAGATGATGTTCGCGTCTTGGAACACGCAACTATTAAGGTAGATTTGCTTTTCTGTTTTAATGGAAGATATTTTCATTAAATGTTATAATTATAATAGGTGCCATATGAAACACTAAATAAACGATATCGTCATGCACAGAAGCAAATTGATCGTGATTCCGCTCAATTAGTTGCATCCGTTGCTGAATTAGACCGATCAACACAGTCTGCAACTACAATTGATTCACTTAAACGAGTACTCGAACGAGCTATGACACTTAAACGAAAAGTAATATCCTTCATAATCTATTTAGTGTATTGATTTATTTATTTTTACTGAATCTAGGCTCGCGAGTTACGTGACGATGAAATTGATTGTTTACAAGCTGTTAAACGACGGGTTGATCATCTTAAAGAATATGATAGAAGTTCATTATCGAAAATGGAAATATGGCGACGACAACGATATGAACGTATTCTTGTCGATTTTCTCTTCCGAACAAGATGCTTTGAAACTGCTCAAGCACTTGCCAAAGCAACAGGAATCGAGGTTGGTTTCGATGATTTTATTTTTCATGACATTAGTTTCTAGTAAATTTGATGAACATATTTAAAATAGATCGGTAAATTGCGATGCTTTCGTGACAATCAAGCGATAAAAGAATTCTTTTTGACATGAAAATCTATTATATTTTAATGTATTGTTAATGTTATTTTAGTGCTCAATTCTCCATTAAGTTAAAAATAATATTCACGCGCATAGATACAAATCACACACATTTATGTCATTTATAAATATCTTAGAATGCAAAAAAGAAAAGTCAGTGCGTTTAGTCAGTAAAAGGGCAAGTAGTATATATATATATGCGTATAGAATTTTTGTGCGGAATCAAAAGTTAAAAATGATTTACGACTAAAATCCCGCGGGAAAAAAATAGCGCTGATTCCCGTTTGTCAGATTGAGAGTGCTTTTTTTGTATTGTTCCATCGAGTACTGTTAACTACGACAAATATAAAGAAATCTTTTTCTGCAAATACAGTACATTTGCTCTGTATCGTGAAAAGAAAAGAAAAGGCATTCTTAAGTCAATGATTCTTTTATAAAGGAAATCTTTTCTCTCTGATAGAATATGATACTTTTAATCAGCTAGATGTAAAATAAAAAGTGACTTTAGCCTAATTGTATAAAGTTACATCTTATTCCTGTATTAAACGATTGTTTCACGGAAAAAGAAAAGAAATATCATCAGTTTCAATTTGGTTGAAAATCATGCACAGAATTATTTCAACAGTATACGTAAATTTTTCGGCTGTTATGGCTTTCTGCTTTTCTAATATTATTATTTTTAACACTAAAATGGCTTCCTATGAACAACACCCGATGCTTTGTAAAATCCATCATTGTCAAACTTGGTTACCTTTAAAAAGAGGTATATGAATAGATTTGAGACGAGCTCAAATACATGATTTTTCTTTTTTTGCTATTTGAAACAATTATTTTACTCATGAACCAAACTGAAATGTTATATTAGTAAGACAATAGTAATTGTTAAATGTTATCATAAGAACAATAACTGAAAATGTTTGAATTGCAATAAAGCCGTAATTGTATGCTTGATTTTCTACCATAGTTATTATAGATAATGTAAGTGCGCTCTAGTGATATGCAGGGAGCATGTCTTAGTATAGATATCAATGATAGATTGTTATTTATTGAATCAAATGTTCGAAAATTAACAAGAATTTGTCCGCCTATTGTTGAGGTGTGAAAACGGTGATGAATTCGAGACACGTAGATATCCAATGCAACTACAATCTTGTTCTATTCGCACTCTCTAATTAACTACACAATAGACTATTTGAAACGAGACTATGTGTTAAAATTGTGTAAAAATGAAATATTGAATGAAGAAAATGTTAATGAATATAAAGATATATTTAAAAGTATCTATGTAATATTATTGTTTTTTTCTATAGTGTTATTCATTGATGTCTACATGTTTAAATCGAATGTTTTAATTATAAGGTGCGCTCTCGTGCATATATTTAAAATAATCGATGCGTCGTTCATTTTTCTAAGTTTTTCTTTTTACCATTGTATGTGACAACTGAGATGTTCTCGACCTTGGAATCCGAACATGTAATGAGTTGGCATAGGAAAGTCAAACCATAGGTTACCGATTTTGAATTAAGTGATCTTATATGTTAAGTTGTTACTCTATGGGTAGTCGATCTCTTTAGTCGAGTAGCTTCTCTCAATGGTAATTAGCTTTCTGTAATGGTACTACCCATGTAGTTCAATGATGGTGTAATTACAGGATAATGTAACATATTTTATGAGTTTTAAGTGATTATTTCTAAAAATAATGCAATGCGAGAAATATATCGAATGATCACATTCATCTACGTCCATAGTGACTACATAGAGAGTTATTGTTTTTCTTGAACTAGTATTTTATTTCATAGCATCATTTCGCCTCGAACAGTGATGCCGAGAAAAAGAAAGAAATCGAAAACAGAGAGAAAAAAACGAAAATCTTGGCTTCTTTGCATAAGAAGAAATCATAGAGAAATAGACGTAAAAGAAAACATAACAATCACAAACGAATTTTCACTACTCAATTACAGAGACAGGTAGGCAATACATCAAATCAAGAATAAGATACTTAGGAGACTTTCAATTAAAAATAAATGAAACAGATAAGATGTAGGCGTGAGTGAAATCAATATTTATATTCACATTTATTCTCAGTAGGAATTGATTTCAACGCGAACACAATAATTGATGTTGATGCTGTTGCTAATGAAAGGGGAGAACAAAACAACAGCTTTTCTTTTTTTTTTATATAGGATCAAGTTTTTTTTCAACATGAATAGACAATTCTCTGTGTCGTTGTTGTCAAAGTACTTGAGCTAATAACCTAAAAGACAATGAAAAATTGCAGAATCAGGTCAGTCCAGTCACCAGGGAGTTCGCTTCCGAACTGTCGTGCAGACGCGTGATTAGAACTAATAGTCTAACGAATAAATTTTATCGATCCGTCTTAAAAATGTTTGCAACTGAATTTGAACTCATGACGAATAGCATTCGTGCTCACTAAGAGTATAATTACGTAATTACATAAATTCAAATAACAGAACGGTTAAATAGTTAAAATCAATGGAATAGGGCAGACAGTATTTAATACTAATTGAGAAAATTGGCTTTCAGTCAATTATATCGACAAATATGTGCCAACAAAAGCCGAAAAGGAACATCAATGTTTTATACACAAGAAATATATCACGTCATTCTAGTTTGATAAGACATGAAATATTTATTTGCAAGAAAATAAACACCATATACATTCGCAGATAAAACTATTTTTATTAATATCTAGCATAATGTGCAAAGAAAGATGCTCTGATAGATGCATCTCCATGATAGGTTTATCTCTCTATTATTAGATTCTATGTGTAATCTAAAACTGAGTAGATCTTATCTAATAATAATAATTATTATGCAGCAGTACATTAGCTAATTCATTCGATTATGTATTTGACTTTTTCTTCTAGCATTTAGTTAATTCCGAAATTTATTTGGCTGGGCGTGAAATTGAAGAATCGTTAATACGTCGCGATGTATCGAAATGTCTCGCTTGGTTTAATGAAAATAAAACTAAACTAAAAAAAAATGGGGTTCGTTATTTCATATATTATTTTTTCATGTTATGCTTCGTTTTTTTTTCTTTCACAATCATATTTATTCTAGAGTACACTCGATTTTTGTATTCATTTACAAGAATTTATCGAGCTGGTTCGCAATAATCGTCGTTCTGAAGCAATATCACATGCAAGAAAATATTTAAATGGTTCTATACCAGAACAGCATTTAAATGAATTTCAATCAGCTATGGGTTTACTTGTTTTATTACAGCAATCGAAAAAAGAATTAAATAGTGAATATCAAGTATATGGTCGACTAGGAAGATTTTTCTTTTAATTAGTATTAAATTTTTTTATTTAACAGACACTACTTGATGAAAATCGATGGACAAAATTAATTGAACAATTTCGTCTTGATATGTTTAAATTAAATCAAATGGGACAACAGAGTAAATTTACTGCTGTTTTACAAAGTGGTTTATCGGCTTTAAAAACACCGTAAATAATATTATTAATTTATATACATATATGAAGTTATTTTCTTCATTCTATAGAACTTGTTTTGATAAAGTTTCATCTGTTAAAAATCCGAATTGTCCCGTATGTAATGTTCATTTAAAAACAATAGCTAAAGTTTTACCCTATGCTCATTGTTCTGTATCAAAATTAATTTGTGCACAATCACGTGAGCCTATTAATGAAAGTAATCCTCCATTAATGTTACCAAATGGTTATGTCTATGGCTCAAAAGTATATTATCTTTATTTTTCTTTAATAGATTTTTGTTTTCATTGAATTAAACATTTTTGCAGACTCTTCAAGCAATGGCTGCTCTCAATAATGGAAAAGTTATTTGTCCGCGTACAAAAGAAATCTATGATTTATCACAAGCAGAAAAAGTGTATATAATGTAGACGAGACAAAATTGAAGAAAAGAAAGAAAAAGCAATAGACTTACATTTTGATTTTTGATTTTTGATTTTACTCATGCATAAATACATATATATATGCAAATATACTATAAGAGAAGTTCTTTAGATAAAACAAAATGTTGTTTGATAATGAAAAGCCACCAGCAACAACCAGTTCAATGTCGATAAGAAATCGACGGCATATTCCGCCACCGTCAACAAGCGGAGCTATATGCTTGTTCACAAATTTATCGGAAAGAAAGAATAAAACATTTTTATGATTTCGTCTTTTTATATTTAAAAGGAGGGGTGTGCATTTTTTGAATGATTTTTAAACCACCTGGTTATTGGGTGAGCAAGAAATGAATGCATTCATTTTTTTCTGCCTGTTTATTTATACTTACAACAATAGTAGATTGTGAATAAAAGAAAGATATATATGTCTTATCGAAGTTACACGGGTCGACGAAGTTATAACGTTGACAGAGAAATTTGTCGAAGTCATTTTTAATTCACTTATCAATAAATAATTTACCAAATTTAATATTGTGATGCTGAATGTATGATAAAAAATTAAGTTTTTTCTAACGAATACTCATTTATTTAATGATATCATTAAATAAATGAGTATTCGTTAGAAAAAACTTAATTTTTTATCATACATTCAGCATCAGAATATTCAATTTGGTAAATTATTTATTGATAAGTGAATTAAAAATGACTTCGACAAATTTCTCTGTCGAAGTTATAACTTCGTCGACCGGTGTAACTTCAGCACGACATATATATATATATAAATATATCAAAACAAAAGAAAAAGGTTTTGTTTTTCCAGGATATAATAAAAGAAAAAAATGCAATTGAAGGTAATAATCAAACACTTTCATATAGCTTTTATTATTAAATAAAAGAATACCATCGTATGTTTAACCCTCATGTATCACAATGAATATATACCTGTACCTTTACTGAGAAATTTTTTCTTTATTGCTTCATTGCTTTGATTGTGCTCGTCACTATATGGGTCTGAATGATTCGATAAAATAAAAAAAAGATAAATTCTAATTTTAATGAAAACTTAAATTTTGCTTCTAGTATTTATATGTACAAATTAATTGTTTAGCATTGTTTCTATTCCTTTGACATAATTGAATAAAAAATATAGTTCGATATAATTTAATTTTGTTAGTTCAAACAACGTGGTTACTCAGATCCAGACTTAGATCGACGAACAGCAACAACGACCGGTCAAATGCTCTATCAAATTATTAATCCTAAACCAATACCAGTTGTTTTACCAGACAATCTACCTCCAACACCACCACCGCCTTCTGCAATGGGTGCCATACGAAGACGAGAAGTTAGTAAAAACTATCGAAATTTTAAATCATCGAACTGATCTTGTTCTATAGGCATATAATAATCAATTATCAGAACATGATAATCGAAATATCATACAAAACTATGGAGAATATTTTGGACGAGTAAATATAAATTATCATTCGAAAGAGAGGCAAAACTGATTATATTTCTGTTATCGGTTTAAAGGGTTTTGGTAAACGGTTAATGCCTCAATTTTCAAGGCAAAGTAACGATTGGATTCTTTGTCACAATCCACTTCCTGTGCATCCAGATCGAAGTACAACACGCCGCGATTATCGTGGCTTGCCTGCATTCGATAATCGACAATTCTCCTCATCAGTAATGTTGTCAACTCGAAAGTCAAGTGGCGGGTGGATGACATCTTCTTATGATGATTGGGCCCCGAATAATGTTAATGTAACAAGCCGATTCATATATCATGATGATTCAAAACGAACGCCTGCTCATCCATGGCACTATTGAAACTCAACATTTTTTATTTTATTTATTGTATTGGATCCCTGAATAAATATAAAGACATATGTCCTACTTGAAATAGAATGCAGTTGTATTGCGTACAAATGTATAGATAAATATGCCAACAACAAAAACACCTAGACAGACCCGCTATTTTTTTATAATTGTGCGACATATGGCCACTATGGATCAACAAAAAACGTTATTAGCAATCATAAAATTGTTTTGCTTAAAAAGAGCAGATGATTTAACCAAAACAGCCTAGTTACTAGGAAAATTGATAATATCTTCATGGGTTTGGATTTGGGTTATATTCTAACGATAGCTAGATTTTCGCATCGCTTCAATCTTCTTCTTTGCTGCTGTACTACTCAATATATATATATATACAGAGAGAGAGAGAGAGAGAGAGAGAGAGAGAGAGAGAGAGAGAGAGAGAGAGAGAGGGATGTTGCATTCGCTATTGTGTCTTGTAATTATGGAAAAGATATATGATTGTCTTTGAGACAGTGCAAAGACAACGGATGTCAAATTGTCGGCGAAGTTCAACATGAGGAAACGAGACAAGCACTAGAGAAAAACGAGAGAAGAAAATCGTAGCCAAGAGCACAATTAAGGGGCAAGAAAAATTCTCTGCTTTTCTCTCTAGTGCCCGTCTTCTTGCTCGATGCGCCTCATCACCAACAACATCAACGTCTCTAGTAATTTTTTTCGCGAATCCTATCGTTAAATGAGAGAGAAAAACGGAGAGTAGAAAATATTGGAACCATGAGTTCTCTATTCGTGTCCCGCTTTATCGATTCTATCTTTGCTTTCTATGATATCTTTTTATAGAGAAAGAGACAAAGTAGAAACCAGCGTACACACACACACGCACACACAATGGGTAGAGATGCAATAGAATGCTCTATGTTGAAGACTTTCGTTGTTAATCTGTTGAAACTTGAACAATGAATGATAACAATAAAAATAATCATAATAGTTATGATAAATAAAAGATACAAACAAGACGCATGGGAACTCCAGTAACCATTCAAATTGCTGCAGCTTCAAATTATAATGATTAGTAAGTTTTAAATGTGATTACGATAAGACTTTTTTTCCCGTTTATTTTCTAAACGCTTTAACGTAAAAGTGACAATGGGATTATTTTCGCCATGATTAAACTGCTGAACATGCAATCGTGCATGTATAACTAGTCGATTAATTCAAGCATAGATATAGTTTTTTATAATTAAGCAGAGATGCTATTGACTTGTTACCAAAGTATTTTATCTTTAACATATATGCATATATTAATAATGAATAGATCTTTTTTTGGTATGAAAATTAATTAACATTCACACATTTGTTCGTTTTTGGTTGTTAAGAATGAAGAAATAAGATTTTTAAGGGTACAAGAAATTTTTACATAATTAATGGCGTGTACTTGAATGTTTATATTTGAGGATACATGTCGGATACAACATATGTAGAATAACACTAGTCGATGATCTTGACTTCGATCTGTCTAGATTCTTTTTTTTCTTGAACGTCAGACAAGAGATTATTTTGTCATTCCTTCTGTACAAGATTCTTGCCTGAAAAAAACTGATCTTGACTTTCTGACAAGATTCTTGTGTTCTTGCAATTCTTACATGATTCTTGTTTTCTTGCAATTCTTACATGATTCGTGTTTTCTTAAAAGTCTTGCTATTTTGACAAATCCTTGTAATAAAAATGAGTTTCATTTAGGCATCCATACGATTCCCTCCTTTCGGTACTATTATATTTTAATTTCGAATTAAAAAATACTCAAAAAGCACATTACATGCCCAAGGAAATATACAATAAATTCATATCGTGTACAAAAACAAATTAAGAAAAAGAAAAAATAATTGAACAAAACTGTCTATTTAAAAAATACATCTGTTACAGTTCGTCAGTGTCATCTTCATGATCATTTAGAAAGAAAAAGATATGACGTTCAAACTTCTGTATATTTATAAGTATATATACAAAGACATCACGTGATATTTTTCTTTAAGATATGATACAAATCGCTGAAAGGAAAAGAAAAAAGAAACTTGTCTGAATTCAAGAAATTTGAAATGTCTTGTAATTCATTCCAGATTCATATTTTTCTGATGAATCAGACAAGATTCATCTCATCTTGCACTTCAGGCAAGATTCTTGTCTGAATTTCAAAAAATCACGAATATCTTACCATTCTTGCCTGATTCTTATTGATCTGATCAATCAGACAAGATTGTGTTTTTCTTGAATAACAGACAAGAATCTTGTTTCTTTCCTTTCGCGAAGAATCTTGCCCGAATATTATAATTACAAAGAATTCAAGAAAAACAAGAATATGGACAGAACGAAGACAAGATCGTCAACTAGTGAAAAATCGAAGCATATCACCAATGAAACACTAGAAGGTTTTTTACCTACATATAGACTACACGTACAAATACTAGATTTATCTTTACACATTCGATGCAAGAAATTTTACCCCAGGATATTTCGTAAGACCAAAATAATTCTTTTAACTATCAGCATTACATACGATCGATCAGTTCTGATTTTACACGAAGTATAAAAAAAAATCTAATCATCCCTATAGAATTTCTTTCAATCACAATCAATTTGCCTCTCTTAGGGAATAATTCCACACGTTACAGTTAGCTCGTATATCATGAAAAAGAGATTCTAAAATATGTACTTGAGTTGTTAGATAATTATCTATTCTATTTGACGCGAAAATAAAACTATAAAATCTTGTTCATGCTTGAATGAATAGTCATAAAAATTTCAAAAAGTGTCATCTTATGAATAAAACAGGAAAAATTGATTGTATCAAAAATTTATTTGCTTTAATAATCTGTTTCTTTTTGTCTTTCGAGTGATACGCAAACATCGATACGCCGTCAAGCAAACGAACGCCGTGATCATGAAAGTGCTTTATTGGTCAATTATGATGGCTCAATAGGTAGTCAACATCCAAGATATGGTGGCAGTCAATTGTTGTAAGTTTTCTCTCTTTTATTTCTAAGTTAACATATCTTGTTTGAATAATAATACTTATGAGTGTATCTAAGTATTTTTTATATTTTCTCAAGGTCTTTTTTATATTTGCAAAAAGCTATTGAAGAATTATATACTTGTGAATCAATCTCATAGTTTCCCTTTTTCTTTTATTCTTTTCTTGCTCGCAGAGCTTTTTGTTCTATTGTTGTCATTATTACTGAGTTTGACTTCGACGCAACTAATATATTCCCTTTGTCACCATTGTGTTTTTTTAGTAAAGAAAGAACAAGAAAACAAAAAAAAAAAGGAAAGAAAGGAGGGAACAACTAACTAACTTTTTTTTCTATCTAACTAACAACACTAGTTCAATAGAAATGTGAAAGAATAATATACGCAATGTTAATATCTCCTAGCGTTAGTTCATCGTTGCGCTCAATGAAATTTTCGACACGACATGAGCGTGTTTCTCGTTTGTTCTGACTGGTTGATAGAGAACGGGTTTCATGTAACATAGAAATCGTAGAATAGGGGAGAGAGAGAGAGAGAGAGAGAGAGAGAAGGAAAGAGAGGGAGGAACAGAACCAAAGAAGAACAGGAACAAGAAGAAGACGAGAATGAGTATGTATGTGAGCGCGTGTTTATCATCGACTATGAATACTTTTCCGCGGTCTTTCTTCTTCGTCTTCTTGACTATGCAATGAGGAAAGACGGGACCAAATGCAACCGACGCATTGAAAGAAGAATACAGAGTATAATGACTGTTGCCGTTTTGGAAAGCAAACAAAAGACGAAGCACTACGATGTTAGACGTGGATTTATAACGATGAGACTTATATGTATATGGTAATGATGATGATGATGATGGTGAATAATAATTAGTGAACAGTGATTTCTTATTTCTTTGAACAAATATTACAGACTCACACGTAATAATTAATATAGAAAAATACGTCTGTCAAGATGACGATGGCAACGATATGGCAACCTGTCACATTGAGTGACCATCCTATGTAAGTATATATATATGTATATATAATATAGAATATAGAAAAATATCATTTATGTTAAACATGATCTAGAACCTTTATGCAAGCTAAACATGCTAGTCAAAAACAGATTAGATATATCTTTCATATTAACTTATATTTGTTATTTGTGTGTCAGAAAGTCATTCATTGATACATCTGCTGACTGGACTTCAATATATAGTTTTTTTTCTTTGCTTTCTTTACTAATGTACACGTTTTTTGTTAAAGAATAGCATTGATTTACTAACGAGCTAATTCTTGCTCTTTTTTTACTAGCTTTAAAGAAGAAGAAAAATTAGTAATCGAATGTTTTATGTTTAGCAAAACTCCGAGGCAATCTGTTTTACAATCACTCAAAGAATTATTGTTGAATCGAGTGTTTCCGATATCTATAGATAATCATAAGTAAAAATCGAAGACAATAAATATGACCATGAAAGTTACTGTTTCATTTTAGTACTATTCAAACATGTCTTTGCCTATTATTTTTTTATGATAAACCATAACAGCAACAACAAGTGTTTGTACTGTGTTTCCAAGCCTAATTCTTTCCTTTTTTTGTTTTGTGTAAATAGATGTCGATCAAAGAAAACAAAATAGAAAAAATCAACTGTAATTTGCTCGCTTGAAAAAAGAAAGAATACAGTATATACATTATGGATTATTTGTGACGGAAGATAAATATAGACCTCATAGCTCTATATGTCAACAAGATAAACCATTTCTATTTCAAATATATTTCTCAAGGACAATCCATTGTAAATTAGGTTTTTTTGCGCATTAGATTTTAATACGATTAACTTTTAAATTTCTAAATTGTGTTGTAAGAACTTCTAATGAGACTATACTTTTTTTCTGTTTAGTCTTTCATCTACGAGAAACATGATATACATACCCACACAGAAAGACATAATAGAAAATTTTTTTTTTGTTCTGCATACACTTAAGTTAGACAGACCTTCGACTTAT